GCCAATGTCTTCGGGGGGTATTTTGCTTTCCATTCCGCCCGTTGAATATTTCCTAATTCCCCGCCACTAGGCGACAATGATAAGAACAATTTGTGTGTTTTGTTGTTTTGTTCCGTTCTTCAGAGTTCTCTGTTTATACAAAAGCAATTTTCGGTTGCTGACACATTGGCCATAAAAGGGATCAGGACTTGCCGACCCGACCCGCCTGCTCACATATGGCGGTAAATTGTTTTCCCTTATTTCTCAATATTTTCCTACACTTTTCCTTTATGGGTATGTATGTTTCTGAAGCAATTGCATGGCCAAACGCCTTTTGCCATATAGTAGTTTGGATAGGGAGGATGGATGAAGGAGGATGTGGATGTGGATATGGTTGTGGCTGGTGTTGATGTTTGGACAATGATAGGGGCGTGTCGAAGCATTCGCATTGGGTGCTAAAATTCAATGCTGGCCGGCGGCGAGGGTATCCGACTTTCTGAGGAGCGTTCAGCGTTTCCTGCGGGGATCAGGCCGATAAGGTCACTCATGAATCAGTCGAGCTTGTTGAATCAGGCGAACCCTTTGTGCTCGTCATACATATGCTCCATATCACTTTGAAGGCCCCTGCCAGTTGCAAACAAACAGATATTGTTTTGTTTCGTTTCGTTTCGGTTCGCCCTTACGAAAAATACGAAAAAATACACACAGATATAGAAAAAAAACCCAAGCCCATCCATATATGTTAATCACCCATTCAAACAGTTTTCAGCTCATATAACATCACGAAAGAATGCGTTCTCCTCTCGAGAGCTGGGTGTGTGTATACAAAGTGTATGCCAAGCATGGGAATCGTTGAATGCATTTGGAAGACTCCGGTCTCTGGGCCTCTGGTCCGAAATAAATACAGTGGCACCCCTTGATCCAGTGTCTGAATGTCTGGGGTATTTCCCCAACCCCCAGCGTGTCGCCTTTTGAGTTATATTTCACACTGTGTGATGAGCCCGGCCTGGCAAGCCCAAAAATGAAATCAATTTACACACCCCACTGTCTGTGTCCGTGCCACATGCCCCCAACCCCTGCCACCGCTATGAAACTTTTGTGTAAGAGATCTTAGCGCCTAAGTGCATCAATTGACGCGCTTTTTTCAGATGGAAAGTTCCCCCAATTGCATTAAACAAATTGAAAATGCTTCAAGAGCACCCAGTGGCGAGGGAGAAAGTACTTGCCATCCTCTAAGTAGAATTTCTATCGGGCCAGATTTTTCCTAGCTGGCCGTGACACTTTGTAATTGAAATCTGTGGTCGCCAGTAAAGTATACAGAAATTAATAAGCCAAATAAAAGATCTAGTCGGCTGGTCCGCTAGGCGTCTAGTCGATGGATTGATCCGAACAAAAGCAATTTATCAAGTAGCCTAATCATGGGATGGAGCCAGTCGAATTGAAAAGAAATTAAATATATGTAAGTGTATATAAGACGGAGTCTGAGTCATGGAGAGATAGAATCCAAACAGGATGAAGAGGCTGTAGGCCTATAGGCTGGAGCTCTGGAGCTCTGGAGGTCTGGGCCTCCAATGATAATGATTGATGGCTCTGCAGGCGAGGGGGATTCCGTTCTTCCTCCTACTCTCAGATAGCTGATAAAAAAAGGCCTGAACAACACAAAAATACAAAATACTTTCCAGCTTTAGCTTGACTTTTTATATATACATATAATATAATGTAGAATAAAATTTCAAAAGATGAGATGAATGCAAAAATGGTCTTGGTTCTTTTTCCGGAGAAGATAAGTTCATTTCTTGGCTTTCTTTATCGGGTTCTCTGAACACAGAAACTTGAAATAAATATGAAATATTAATGAGTGTGTGTGTGGCGGGCCGGGAGATGATAAATGTGGCATTCCCCCAATGCCAATGTATGCATGTAGAAGGAGTGTTGAAGATTTGCGCCTCATTTGAGGGGTTTTCGGGTTTTTGGCAAGGTTCAAGGTTAACTGTCACTAAATGACTCAGCAAAAGACGCATCCTTACAAGGAGACACATCCCACCAATGTTGGTTGTTATGACAAATTGATTACAAGTAATTTTGTGTCTCTGGCAGTTCGTTTGATTAGGTGCCAGAGCTGAAAGGACTTGGCCAAAAATTTGTCTTATTTCTGTTGATTTATATCTCTCTGGCAGTATAGTTTCTACCCTCCCAAGTGTGTGTGTGTGTCGTCCTTTATTCGATTTCAGTTAAGATGATTTGGCCTTAATGCATTGAATCGAGCCAAACAGGAAACCTTTGAAGAAGCTCGGCTCTGGCTCTGGCTCGGGCTTTGGCCGTGGTCTGGGGAAGTGGCAGTCTCTGCGGAAGAAACGGCCAATATATATACTGTTATAAATTAAATTTTTCATTCTACTTACATTCGACCCGGTCCATATCCCTTCCCCTCCTTTTAGCCTCTGGTATGTTTTTATTTACGGTAAATTTCATTTCGATTTCTTTTCCCAATTTTTGTTGGAGGTTTTTTGTTGTATTCGTTTGCTGAATCGGCTGTCTGCACTCCTTGAGACAGCCGAAAGACTTGGATACCAAGCTGAATGGCCAATCAATAACATTGGCCAAGACATGCAGCCCCCCCCGCCCCCACCAACCCGCTTAGATGTTGTTCTGTTTACCCCCGACTATGAAACACTCTAAACACCAATTGATGTTTATATGATAATGATTAATGACTACGTTACTTTTACACAGATTGCTTTCCGAATGCCCACAGAGTGTGTGTGTATCCATGTACGTTTGTGTTTGAGTTCCTGGAAAGCCTATTTATTTATAGGGCCCATACAAAAGGCCATTTTCCTTTGAATGCCACTGGCGACTGGCGCCTACATAGTTGAGCCTTACTTCCTTTCCTTTTCACAGAGTTTTAGTTGCGTTTTGCTTAATTTTTTCTTTCCATTTCATCGACATGGCTAAGGACATGGCCAAGGAGCCCGTCTCATTACCAGACATTCATCAATTGTTGGCAATTTGTTTGAAAAGGCTCCTTGTCTTTCCCAATTTCCTGTTATTCAACTTTGTTATCCTTGGCTGTGTTCGTTAAAGGATCTATACTTTTAGCCAAAAACATTCAAGTACAATACTTTTTTCTTCATTTTCGGTCTTGAAATTCTTGACCAACTTGTAACTGTTACTAATGATGACAACTTATTTTGGCCTAAACGCTCGGGCAACACTTTTATTGGTTTTTGTAATTAATGATGCTGGCCGAAAAGTGCGGAAATGACTTTGTGGTTTGCTCCGAGGTGTAAGGTAGACCCGGCTGGACTTAGGTTGCCATTAATCAAATGCACTGATTAGAGAGCTGCAGCCCTGGCACAAAAAAAAAACTGTAGGAAAAGAAAGGGATCTGAAAGTTGTATCCTGACAGTGACTTTTATGGGCTGTCGTCCGTTTGTCACAGTTGTCAGTAGTGGGCCGGCACAAAATTACACTCTCGTGGCAATTAAATTAGGCAAGCAATTAGGCCAACTGCCCCCTGGAAGATGGCGAACAAAAAATGGGGCAAAAAGGGTTGCACCGGGAATATCGATGAGCTGAAATTAATCAAAGGCGAAAGTAATCATTGAGTCGACATGGCCAAATGGAATGCGCCCCCTCTCGAAAGTGTCAGTTGAACGGGGGCGTGGCACTTTCTGTTCTGGCGTTAATTGCTCAGCGTGTTCCAGCTCCAGCTCCAGCTCCAGACCTCTCTCTTGGCCATCTTTGTTCGTAATTTCTTTTGGCTGTTGCGCCTTTTTACAATTTCATTTGTAATTTATCATTGTTTGCCTTCGCCATGGGTTGCCCCCTGCCCTGCCACTCCCATTTCCACTTCAGGACCAAAAAAACACACAAAAAAGGGTTCACCCAGTCAGATTCACTTTACTTTAGCATTTAAATATTTTATTGAGTGCCTCAAATTGTTAATTGTTTTCGAATGGCCGGGACGAGAGAGGGCCGGTGGGGAAAAGGTCCTCCCTCGAGCCAAATCGATTCTAATTAGGAATTGTGTGTGTGTGGCTATATCCATGTCAGGTTGCTTGATTTTTCCTTCCATTTCGGCCCTAACTCGGTTAGCCAACCCTTTTGGCCACGCGCTCCCCGAGAGCCTGAGACCGACTCTGAGTTGCCAGCCAAGTTTGTCAATTGAGTTAATTTGGGCCCCGAATTTTCAGATCCGTTCGCTTTATGCATGCCTGATGCTTTCTCGTCCTGGGGGTCCTCGAATTATCCTTCTTCGCCAGCTGCCGGGAACTTCAAAGCGGGCCTCTGCTGGTCGGCCAGACAGGTGGAGATTCGTGGCTACTCCTCGCCGGGAACTTGATCAAAGGACACGCAAACAACAAACTTTTTTGGCTCAATTTTTATACATCTTGGTTTTTTTTTTTTTTTTTTTGGCTCACTTCTAACCTGGATTGTGGCCGAAAGGTGAGAAGCATTTCAAGAATTCGTAATGAAGCCACGATGACGTTTCAACTTTTGGCGGGTTGGCGGGTGAGGAGGAAATAAAGACCAGACCCTTGCAATATGTTGGGGTTTTGTCGCGTTGACAGCTTTTAATAAAAGTTGCTCTCTTTTGGATTTTCATTTTGATTTTCCAGACAGACTTTGGGCTGGGGCGGAGGGTGTACGTGTTTGGCAACCCTTTTTACGGCCAAAGCCGTGACCTTCTTCATGTGACATATTTTTAAGTAAGTTGTCAAATTATTTTCACTGAACTCCACAGCAGCAGAAACTCAGCAGGCCAAATGAAATTATGGTATTTTTTTTCGTCCTTGCTTGCGGTTTCTTCCTGCTCGACTTGTTTGCCAGGGAAAGTGGCAGGGAAAAGTCAAATGCCGATGGGAACAAAGGCTAATAACGAGAACCTTTTTGGTAATCGAAGAAGCAGGAAAAAACAAGGGTCTCGACCGACCGACCGGCAAGACTCACCCCTGTGGAAACCTGAGACCTGCGAGGGGGAATATCCAAATGCACTTAACTGCAAGTCAACTCAACCATTTTATCGCCACTCACTGATCTTTATTTACATTCCATTCTATTCGAACATTATAAAATATAAACCTTGAACGAAACAACAACTAATTAAGACCTTTACTTCTGCTTGTATCATTCCAGGTAATTTCTTTTAAATTCAAACCAATATCTCCGCCAGAATAATGCCCAGCTTCATGATGACGGCCACCGTAAAGATGATGAGAACCAGATTCTTGTTGGGTCGTTCGAACTCATAAGTAGGACATTCCTTACTTTGATTGGGATTAGGATTTCGTGACATTTTCCCGATTGCTGATACTGCGATTTCGGTAACAGTTTTTGTTGTTTTGTTGAGTTTTCAGGCAAAGCCGGAGAGATTTCCATCGGTCGACGTGTGAAATGCGTAGCCAAATACAAAGTGATGCCGCCGCACTCGGCAGTGAAAGCCGGCAAACAAAAGATCCATTTGAATGCCCCATGCTGCAGCTGCAGCTGGAGGCCGAAATGGAAATTTTCACACATCCTCCCGCCCGCCTCATTATGGACCGGACTGTAACTAGGCAAATTATGAGCCCGGCCGCTGTTTGTTATAAATGCCCCTAAGCCTTTGGCAACCAGCTTCTGTTTGGGCCATGTTGGCCAATCATTTTAGCCGTAGAGTGAATCCAGGTAGATATCCAATGCTCCACAGATGTTTAACCAGTAGTTTCTGTTGGTTTTTCTCGTTCAACGAGTGGCTAAGCTAATTTTAAGCCAGCGCTTTGTGGCCTTGGTGCTTGCTTAGTCTTTTTCGTTTGGATGTTAAGTGTTTTTCTTTTGGTTTCGGCTTGGATTTGGATGGGGGTTTTGGGTTGGAGTTTTGGTTACGGTTTGTGTATCGTGTCGTGTTGCCTCAATTTGTGTTTGGCTAATGAAAATACCTCAGCGAACCGAGCAACAACTGGCAAGCGATTTACGATATTCGGTCTGAGACCGGGGGCAGGCCAGGCCGAGGCATTTTCACTTGCCAGGCCAGCCCAGCTTCAACCGACCGCCGAACATTCCACAGCAAATGACTTCATTGTGCTGTTAGCTGGTAGCTGGCTCTGGCTGGCTGGCAATAAAATCGCAACCGCAAGACAATGGGCGCCCCGAGCTGAGATCCACACGACCCCCCTCTTACAGCTTCTGGATGTGCCTCCGGATCTGGTTTACAACGCTCGTTCATTCACCAAAACGACGACTTCAACTGCGGACTGCAACTGCGACGACGACTGTGATGATGATGCTGATGATGATGCGTTCGTAATGGAATTCAATGCATTTAATGGAAATTTTCGCATTTACATAATCGATGCAGGGCAGCAGCAGCAGCCGAAGCATCAGCAATCGCAAACAGTGGGAGCAAAAAATATAAGCTCGCACGCAAATTAAGCAGCTAGGGCAAGTCTTGAGTCTACAATCTCCAGTCAGTCCCTGACCATGCCAACTCAATTTGCTTCCCTCCTTCCATAAATGTAAATTTGCATTTTGCAAGAAGGGGGGTCTAGAGTGGTTCTAGAGGGGAGGTCTAGAGTGGGTCTATCGGGTGTGGGGGAGTATCCGACTGGGCTACAACATCATCGTTTGCTCTTGTTGTTTATGCGCTTAGATTGTGGCCGTGTATGCCAGAGTCTTGATTTAAGATACTTGCTTAATGTGTAATTTAGTGCATTTAGATAAGTTCCATAGTGAATTTTTGATGTGTGTTACTGTGGCTCCACCCTCCTCTTGGCCCACACTATGGCAAAGGGAATTTAATGCATTGTCTTGCATTTCTGCATTTTGCATTCCCAGTCTGCCTCACTGGTTGGCTGCTGCTGCCTGGTTGCCTGGCTGCCTGGCTGGTTGCAGTTGCTGATAATGCTTTTGTTTATTTAACGGCGCTAAGTGCATTGGTTGCATTTGCATAAATCGCTCGGTGGTTGCTCGCTGGAGAGCCGTTGAGATCACAAGGGGCTGGAGGAGCCCAGAACCCAGAATGGAGGCCAACGCATTAAACAATTTGTGGCATTTAACAGACGTAGCATTATTGGAAAAAATAGCATACCATTAACCCATTGGGATTATGATTTCATTTACGTTTTATGAGTTGAAAAATAGTTAAAGTGAAGCTCTTTCTTAAGCTTCTTTATCTGCATTAAATTCCCATTACTGTGCCATACATTTCCTTTTTAAATTTTCAAGCATTTGCGTTGTGGGTTAATGGCCAGATATCGATGGCCAGTTGCAGCTACAAGGGTATCAATGTTTTTCGCACTCGCCGCTGCAACTGCATCTGGGTGTGCGTTAATCACAAAAGCCAATATGCAGCTGAAAGCCGTTTGTTAATGCGTTATGCACTGCCACACTCCACACAAAAACCCGCTCATACCCCGGCATCCACATCCCTGTGCTTTTTCCACCGCTTCTCACCCATTGTCATGGCATTAAATCCCGCAGAAAATTCCTTTCTGGTCTGGCCGGGTTGTGATAAATTACACAACGCCGCGCCAAACCAACCGACCAACAGACCACCCGACGATGGACAGAGACTCTCGCATTTAATAAATAAAAATTCCATTATGGCCACTCAATGCCAGCCTCAAGCTCAATCAAATAACAAAGAAATCCGGCCCGGGGAGTGTGTGTAATAAATGACGTTGCACCTCCTGGTGGCAAGGGGTCTGCCTCAGACTCTCAGACATCGTTCATGATCCAGGGACATGCTTGTCAATTGCCCAAATGTTTTATACCATCTATGTATATATATATTTTTTTTATGTGGCGCCACATCCAACGCCCACAATGGACCAGGCCGGCTTGTTGTTGCATCATCGTGCCACGGACATGCAACAATTGTGCCTATGAAAAATCCTGTTTTTGCTAGCCTGGTGGGGCTGCCGCAACATGCTGTAATTAACCCGTTTGTCATGCAAATAAATCAAAAGTTACATCCCTCAAACCCCACAGAACACCACCCTCTGGAAAATGTGTTGAATGCATTTTCAACTGCGTTTCGAGTGCATTTTCCTTGTCGACCATTTGTAGCAGCCGAGTTTCCCAGGCACACTTGCAACCACTTGATAATGGAATGTGAGATTTTCATTCCGAAAGATTCAGATTCAGAATCAGATTCAGAATAACAGAATTTCGTGGCTGGCAGGCAACCAAAAATTTTCACACTCACTAAAATTCGAAAGAGGCAGAAATTAATTGCAACAAAATGCGTTAAATGCCTTTTACATTTATCCAAATTGGCATATACTATAGAGGATGAATGCCGCATGGCGGGGTGGGGGCAGAGGACCGAGAAACGTGCCGGGACTTGGGGTACGGACTCTCGATCCATCCGTCGATCGTGTGCAATTTAATGGCTCAGTTTTCACCAACAATTTCTGTGATGCTACGTGCGTTCCCAAAAATAGCCAGCCCTCTTGTGCCGGCCAAGAGCATTCGCCTTTCCGTTTTTCTTCAACTTTGTATTTGGATTGTTTTCGTTTTCATTTTCTGTCCCTGTCCCTGTCATGGTTTCTGTTTTTCTCTTTTTGTATTTTTGTTGGCTTCCTTCGTGCTTTTTTGGCCAAAAAGACAAGTTCCGCGTGCGCCAATGTTGGCTTAAATGGCAATGAACTTGAACGTCGTTGCGTGGTAGTTGGCGTTGGCGCCCTGCGATTTTGATTTTGGTTTTCGTTTTTCGTGCCGGCTGTGTTTTTTTTGTTTCTTATTGCCGGTATAGTCGGTTTGTTGGTTGTCGGTTTTTGGTTTATAAGTATTCCCCACCCGTGTGTGTTTATCTTTGTCGTTTAGCGTTCGGTTCTGGTCACGCGATGCCGTCAGGCGTAACAATTAGCCCAAAAAATGTGTTATTAAAGGTAAGAGTGAGTGACAGGGAAGGGCCGAGTCGGTTGTTAGCCGACTGATAGATGGACACTAAACTTGAAATGGGGTCATCATGCTTTCGGGCTTATTTTTGGATATCCAAATTGGGGTACAGTTTAGCACCCAAATAAGGGCCATGTTGTTTGGGGTAATTATTCCCTTTGAACTGACACGAAATTCAAGTTCCAAGCCCTGCTCCATCCAATCCCTGGGCTCCATCACATCCCCAAAACAAAAACTCTCACGTACCCAACAGTTCTCACCTAATAAAAGTGACGAAGACATTTTCTTCGTGCTGACAGAAACATCCAACAACAACATCCAACAGAAAACTTGCCAAAATGTTTGCAAAAAAAAAAATGAATGAAAAACTGAAAGAGGTGAGGCATGAACGGAGAAGTTCTCCTGGATGCCTGGAAATGGGGGGCGTGACAGCGTGAAGTGTAGCGTAATAAAATGCACACAATTTACGCAATTTACGTAAAGCTAAAAAACATAACAGGCAAACAAGGACAATATACGAGAAGGCAAGGCCATACCAGGGTGCTGGGAGGAGTTGGTAAGGAAAGGCACTTAGCGCAGCTCACATATGATGGTGGCACTAAATACAGTTGTTGTTGTTATTGCTGTTGATGTTGCTACTGGTGTTGCTACTATGCGTTGTTGGCTCGATTCCTTCACCGACGCTCCTTGTTGTTCAAACACTTTTCGAAGCGTTTTTCGCATTTTAAGAGCCGCCATTTTGGCGTTGGTGTTGGCGTTGGCGTTGGCGTTTGTTTTGGCTGCTTTTGTTGCATTTGCCGGCTTTACGCTGTCATTGTCATGGTTCTTCTTGTTTTTTTTTGTTGTTGTTGTCGTTGGTATTGCCACTTTTTTCCTCTCCTGAAATGTTACTCTATTTGCCTGAAATTTTGTATTGTTTTATTTTGTACCCCCCGTGAGTATGTGTTCTTCCTTTTTTTTTCCATGTATTTTTTTTTTTGGTACATTTTCTTTTTAGCCAGCATGTTTCGAAATTCAATTTTCGTCAAGTTGGCAACAGGCACATGAAGACAGCCAGTTGATGTGGGTGTGGGGCCAGGAGTAGCTGCCACTGGTACTGCTGCTACTGCTGCTGCTGCCTCCTCCACTTGTGACAAGAGCAACATTTGTCTATGTCGAGCTGCGACGACATGCAATAACTTTAACTGATTTTTCGCACACATATACACACCCATGAGAGGGACCCCAGCCTTGGGTCTGTAGAGTATTTATAATTCTATTTATGTTCCAATATAGCAGAAAGCGAAGGATGAAGCCTGGGAAACTGGCCACACACTCACACGATGCCAGCAACCGGCAGAGAAGCCTCTCAAAAAAGTTCACCCGTCAGGCTTAATGATAAAGTGAAAGTTTTTTCAGTTGCTCTGGTAGCCTTCTTGCCCCTTTGTTGCACATTGGCTTTGCATGCGACACACATACACTCATACAGAAACACAAGCACCAAGGACCAAAAGGAGCTTCAGGATCGGCTTTTGGACTGCTGGCTGGTCTGGCATGAAATCAAGTTGACTTTTCATTAACAGCTCAAAAATGCCTTGGCAGTGGCCGGGTTTGGGGCTTGGGGCTGGGTTTGGGGTATGGGCTCTTGGTTTGCTTTGGCTTGGCTTGGCAAGCCAAGTTAAGTTGTTTTTACTGCCTGTCATAGCGGTACTTAAAAAGCACACATGCTTACTTACCATATTCTCATGCGGGCTCTGGCAAAAGTTGTCCCGCATTAAGTCCTCAAGTTTCCCACTCTGCTGCAACAACAGCAATTAATGCGATTTGTTCAGCGTTTTCCATGTTAACTACTTGAAAGAAAACACAATTTTCCTTTGCCACGAACGACACGGTCGAAAAAATTACTTAAATTATGGCTGAGAGAGAGTGTGGGTGTGTGTGAGGTGTCTGGAGTGCCTAGAGTGCCTGGAGTGTGTGCGTTGTGTGTATGTTGAATTACCCTAGGGAAGAGCCCCAAAACATTTATTATTATAATAATAAATTGCTTCAAATGATGATTGACATTGAATACGTGTATGTGTGATGCCAGAGTGTTGCTGTAATTTTGTTTTTTTTTTCTGCTGCTGTTTCTGTTGCTGTTGTAGGATGCGATGTTCATCAGCAATAAAAATGGCAGAAAATTGCGCATACGCAACGTTGCACGTTAACACACTGGCGATTAAAAGGCGCTCAGCCCGCTTTTACGACCTAGTCCCCCCAATGTCACCCAAGATGATCTCCCGGCACCGGCTACGGCTACATAAAAATCCCCATTTGAGGTTGAGGAGCCAAAGGACCAAAAGGGGGAGTACCAGCCACTTGATTAAATGAATATTCGGGATGCTGTGGCTGTTGCGTGACTTCCTTTTCCGAGACCCAAAGCGGCGAGTGGCAAGTGCCACCCATTACTTAATGCGGCTCGGCTGCGTCAATTTTTCGGTTGCATTTCAAATGAAGCTAAGCCCTGCGTTGGGCCCAGGCCCAGGCCTGGAGATGTATAGGAAATTCCCATAAATGTTTGAGAGACTTGGTGCCCCCGTCAATATTTAATGCTGTCGCCGAAAGTATGCATTTCATTTAGCCGGATTATTTCTGTCGTTGCCAAGTTGCCGAGCACTTTCGCTTTTAATTAATTGATATTAGGCAGCTCTAGTTTTGTTTGCCCAACAAAACACAAAAAAAAAAAAATAAAACAAACTCTGTGGGGCGATAGGGCAACAAAGTTTGCACTCGCCTGATGATAAGATATTGCTTAGAAACTTTGGCCAGCGATAAGAACTTGGATTCAATTAAGGTAAGTTGGTCAATGCCGGTGGGGAGAGTTGTGGCGGGATTCCAGATTCAATGTGGCAGGGAATGTGTGTGTGCGTGTGCCTTAGGATGTGCCACATGGAAAATGGAGCGTACTCACTTCCACTTTCCTCTGGGTGGTGATTGCCCCGCTTTGTTGTCAGCGACGTCAAGTTGCCACTATGCCAGCAGCTTGACAGGTGCCACCGAGCTCCATAGTGTTCCGTATGGTGTATAGTGTCTAGTGTATAGTGTTTTTGTGTAGAGCAGTGTAGGGCTGTGTTGCATAAGCCACGCCCCAAATATGTCGGAGAGCATTAGGCCGTGAGTGCGCCACTTAAACGGACTCGCTGCTGCCTTCCTTAGCAGCTT